CCTGAGATCCTGCACAGCCCACCAGAGACAATGCACAGCCCCCCCTGAGATCCTGCAGACCGGTGCGGGATGTGTGGTGGGCTCTGCCCAACACAGAACCCACTACAGATCCTGTACAGCCCACCCGAGACTCTCAGGTGGGCTGTGCAGGGTCACTTTAGCAGCAGTGTGATCATCTTACGTGCTGCTTGGTCCCCGGCCTCCTCCACTGCTGGACTGGTGCTGCAGGACCCGGCCTCCTTCGCACCTCGACGGCTCTTCTATGACCCGGTGTTCGGTCAAGCATGCAGCGGCTTCCTACGGCGCGATGGCACCCTGGCCCTGCCCGTTTCTGATCCGACATCGTTTCGCCCCGCCCCCTCCTGCTGGTCCGTCTCCTCTACCTGTTCCACCGCCGCCTCCTCGCCACTTTTCTCTGCCTCCTTGCGGACTCCTTCCTTTGACGCTGCCGCCTCCTCCGCCCGCCCCCCTGAAGTCTGTGCTACCCAAGGCCAACGCCTTGTTTGCCTCGTGGTAGATACGCCCGTCTGTACGTAAACGATGCCCCCATAAGATGCCAGTATGCCACAGGACCCCAGATACGTACTATACAAAGCAGTGTCCATATACCTTGCCGCACTCCTTACCGGATATCCCAAAAGTAACGGGTGCCGGTAATGACTGCGGGGGGCACCGCCCACAAAAGAACGCCAATACAGATGTCACCGGCACCACGATCCCATGTCAGTGTAAATTAGGGGCCTCGTGCCCCAATTATCAGGAAGTCGGGCGGCGGATTCCGGACCCGTTCCCCGACTTCCTGATTGCCTGATTCCAGTGAAAGAACACCGACTTCAGAGGCTGCCTGGCTTCCTGACCAATCAAGAAGACAGGCAGGGAGTCATGATGTGAACCCGCCTCCTGATTGAAGGACGGCACGTCATGGCCAGCCTTCCGGCTTCCTGATTGGCTAGGAAGTTGGCTTCAGTTTTTTCTAGGCAGCGTGGCTTTCTGACCAGGAGGCCGGGATGCGAGTCATGATGTGCCATAGACTTGTGCGCCGTCAAAAAATTAGTTTCGTTTCGGAATATCCGTTATTTCGTAATCCGAAACTCAGTCCGGATTCGTACGAAATACGGATTTTCGGTAGTTTCGTCACATTTTCGTAACTTTACGAACATTCGTTATTAGGGATGTCCCGATTCCACTTTTTCAGGCCCAAGTACAAGTACAAGTACATCCCCTCATGTACTTGCCGATACCAATTACCGATATTTTTTCTTAAAGGGACAGGTGACTTTAAATGATCCATAGTACAACTGCATGTTATGTACTATGGATCATGATTTAACCCCTTCATGTTAGCAGCGGAGAATTGTAACTCTATTGCTGGAGTGTAGTGAAGGTGTGTGCTGTATATATGTACTACATATGCATTACACACGTCCAGTACACTATAGCAATTCATTTACAGCCGGCCCCGTCCCAGCTTCCCTCACTCACAGTTTCACTCCGATCCCCGTAGCCTCATGCGGTGCCTCTTCTAGTCGGCGCCGGGCAGGATCGCTGCATCGCGTCTCGGTGCTCAGCTTGTGGGAGGCGCTCACAATTCTGCCCTGCTAACATGAATAGGTTAAATCATGATCCATAATACATATACAGCACATACGTCCCGTACACTGCAGTAATAGAGTTACAATTGTCCCCTGCTAACATGAATAGGTTAAATCATGATCCATAACATGTAGTTGTACTACGGATCATTTAACCCCTTCATGTTAGCCGGGGATTATTGTAAATCTAATGCTGCAATGTACGGGACATTTGTGCTGTATATGTACAGTACATATAGATATACAATTCTGCACTGCTAACATGAATGGGTTAAATGATCCGTAGTACAGGGCTACATAT